TTACGTTTACAAATGAGTAACAAATAAAATATTGTACAGTATACGCCAGGTAATAGTTTTTACTGGCTCTAGGAGATGACAGGCTCGCCTAACGGCTCGCCAGTCAACTTCTCCTATCGCCAGTAAAAACTCACTTACCTGGCTAATAATGTAAAATACTATTTCCCGTGAGAAAACTTGAAAATGTATATTTTTCTTTTTCAAAAGGCTTTTGCTAGCTTGCAAAATCTGTCGAGATTTAAGTTATGTTGACACATTAAAGTTGCTTTAAGCATCTAAAATAAAAAAATAATTGGCAAAAAGACGTCTTCGGTTAATTCAATCATTCCTTTTGTTTTGCGCCATTAAAAGTTTTGTTCGTCTTTTCGTATCTCTCATGACTTTGTAGAGAGCAAATCTTGAACTGCCCCCTACCATCGCTCGTACACAGCAAACTGCACTAATTGTTTTGAAATCTCCATGGAAACAATTAGTTAATTTTATTTTAGCATGCGTGATTATTAGGTGTGAAAATTTAACATTAATTTATGAATAATTTAATTCGGAAATGTTACATATTGCTGTGTTTATTTCGTCTGGCAGGAAATTTTCGGACATCTTAATTAAGATGGACAAGGGCGGCCTCCTTCTTGTGTAATTAGCATTTGTAATTAAATTTTATTAATTTGTCGTTGGTCTATGTCACGTCATGGGGATTATTGTGTCATACGAGAAAGCGGTCAAGTTTGCTTTTGTTTAACATTTTTATTTTATTTAACGTAGAATTTCCGGGAATTTTATTTGATTTTTATCTGTTATCAAATGTAAATGCTTAATTGAATTGACAGATGGATGTGATTTATCGCCTTTTCTGTGTAAGTGAGACAGATGAAATTTTATTTTTCCTAGAATTTAAGTTTGGACTCTATTTTTCGGTATATCGGTATATTCGGTTGAGGGAATAGCTAGGGGGATAGTTTTTGTTGTCAACTGTGTATGATTGGTTGTTGTAATTTTTATTTTCGGTAGAAGGGTTTCGCCTTAAATAGGATGTTAAAAGAAAAAGCGAGGCCTTTTGCCAGAGTCTACGCAGTATCAGGTTTCGTTGAAATTTTTAAATCGGCTTTTTGCTATGTGAAGAATTTAGTTCGCATCTTGAGAGTTCCATCGATTATTGTTTGTTTTGAAGCCACAGCCAGCAGTGAAAGTTTCGTCTAATGTGAGTTTGAAGTTTGAAGAAGTTTTCTGTGTGAAGACGGAAGAATTCGCGGCTAATTAATGTTCTACCTTTTGAGGTTTTGAAGTTTGGGCAATCAACAGTTCAACGTGACTCAGTTTGAAGTTTGAGTTTTTTATTGGAACGTCTTTATCTGCCCGGTCGTTAGTGTAAAGTGTGTTCATTGAAAATTGTAATTGTTTTTGTGTACTGTGTGCGGATACCTTTTATTTGGATATTACAATTCCCGTACAAGTAATGTAAGTAGTTAAGACATAATTTTAGTCTATTTGTAATTTTAGTCTATTTGTAATAATTGTTTGTGTTATTCTACCATTTTCCTTTTGTGTGTTAAGATTAAATCGCACTTTTGTCATTTTCACATTAATTTACCACGACGTCTTCTCTAATTTACCTGTTGTTTTTATTGGATGCTTGCCCAAGGTCCATTTGAATTATTCAAAATTTTGAAGTTCAGTTTGGAGATTAAGGTATTTGGTCTGACCCACTATCTGTTAAGATAGATATGAAGTTAACAGGTTAACTGAGAGAATTTATACGTAGGTAATACGTCATACAAGTGTGCCCACCTGACTTGGAGGCATTCAAGAGATGTACTTTTCAATGGGCCTCCAAGACATGTAAATGTAAACGGCCACTTTCATGATTAATTATGAAAATAACTATTGTTACAATACCCGTGTTAGAAAGTTATTCCTAATCGATCGCACTGTAAAATGCGGTGGAGCAGTTTGACAGGCACAAGAGTAAACTTATAAAACATTCAGGAATGTACAGGTACACAGTTGCCTTAACTTTCCTTTAAGAAAGATTTGGATTTCAACAATACTACGAGAAATGTAAAGATCTTCTGCGAATACATAAATACAAGTACTTATAACGTAAAGAATAGCTTTAAACTATGATCATTGAATAAAAACACTATTTTTATTCAATGCTATGATATAGCTCACAACGTTCATTTCAAAGTATTTAGTGAATGTTTCATAACTCAGTACAGGCAACGAAGTCCATTCTGGAACTTACAAGTACGTACAAATAAACGTTGCAAGGGGAACTAAGTTATAACTTAACGGCACAAATTAAGCTTAGTATAATTTGTCGATCCCGATCTAAATTGGGAATTTCACTTCTAAATGCATCACTTACTTCTGAGACAAATATTAGTTAACGTCAATTTTTAAAGTTTCATCGTTCTAATGGAATTGAGTCTGAAACAAAAGTTTAATGAAGGTAAAGTTTTAATTAAATTCTGCTCTGGGGATTGATATAAACCTTAAAAATTATTCGGGTGGTTAATTGAAACGCTACACTACTTAATTACAAATTTAATCATGTAATGGATGACGTTTTTAGAATAATATTGAATAATGATAATGGAATTAAGCAAACTGAGATATTTTGAAAGGTTCTTAAGAGCCTCTGACAGTCTTTTCCTTCATTTTTAACCTAAAAAGAGATAAAAACTGGATGGAAGGCACTGACGCTCTTTTAATACTTTGACGCTTTATATGAATTTCAAATTTTGTATTCAAAGTTTCTAAAAAAAGTTTTCGTCAGATTTATAAACGTTTAGGGCGTTTATCTCCGTCGGTACAGATATATATCGGCAATAACGTTTTATATTTAAGTTTAACTTTTTAATCGAATCTTTCAACTTTTGAACGTCGAAGTGACACGTAATAAATGAGTGAAAAATTCTGTTCTAAATAAAAGTTTACTGATTCAAACTTAGTAAATATTTAAGCGCCCTAAAAGCGGTGGGTTATTTCAACTGGAAATTGCACTTTCCTCTTGAGGGTAAGAAGTGAGTAACTAACTTGAACCAACAAAATGTTTTAGGATCTGAAATACAATTTAGAGATTCTGACGAAGTTTTGATTGAGAGACTTTTTCAATCTCATTTGACACTGTACGAATGGATTTATTTACGAATGCATTGCTAAGAACTGTGAAGGAGAATTTGTCACCTCGCATACTTTTACTAGAAATAAATGAAATTGCGAAAATTATACCTACCTAGGACACTCTGTTCTATAAAGCATTGTGCTATGTCCAATTTATGAAACTCGAACGCACAATGGAAAAGGGGTGTGATTTTGGTTATGCAGTCTAGCAGTATTGAAACCTTTCCGACATGCTCCTAGTAGCATCTTGTAGGGGGAAAACTTAAAGTGACCATAATAATGTTATTTATTTCGAAATATATTTTTAAATAACTTCAGTAAAAAATAAAAACCATTTTGCAAAATTTCGATTTTTTCCGCATATAACCGAAAGTAGTCCTTACGCATTTTTTTCTTCCACGACTCCATCGCATATGTAAATTCGCAAAACAGCAGGTAAGTTTCTTTCTGCCTTACAGATTTTGGTGACAAAACGTAGCCTTCCTACTTTTAATGGAATGTTCATCTTTTCCCTAACACGAATCGGGGATTTTTTAGCCGTCACACCACAGCACTATTTCTGAAAAAAATTACACCACGGTATTAATTAGGGAGCAGCAAGGAAAAACTCACTACTTAATGTTGCTTAATTTTTCCACATATTAACTAACCATTTCTTTGCTAAAATTGATTGTTTAGAGGCATATTACTGTGATCAGGGTGGATAATATGGTGTTTTTAACAATAGAAAGTGGTGTGTGTATTGTTTAATGATGCAAGAACTGTAAAGGGATAGTTACATTTACAGAGGTTCAAGACACCACTTGCATAAAGTAAAATTGGATCTCTACGACACTGTCAGAAATCCCAATACAATTAATTTTTAAATTTACCAACGGCTGCCTCAGTAATAGAAATGTTTTTATACCCTTTACATTGCGGAAGTTTGGCCTCTTATTTCCTAACTCCTCAATGCTAAATAAAATACAACGAAAGGAATGGGGTAACATTGAAATTAAATGCACATAAAATCCTAATTATTGAAACAAAATACCCTTTGCTTAGATGTGATTCTTGCCGTTGAATAAAATACAACGCATGCCATTTTTATACAAATGTTACTGATAGGTCGATTTTTTCAAGAATATAAAAGTTACTTTTATACAAATCCTTTTAAAAGATGCAAATAGAACGCTGCAATGGTTCGTGGTGGATGCTAAGCAGAAATGTGGATACGTATTGCAAAGTACATAAATGCTTAGTGAACACTGATATATCTCGACTATTAATAGAGTGCCTACCTTTTGCTATTAGTCAAAAATGTATATACAGTTACTGAAAAAAAGTACCCGTCAAATGTGTGGTTAGAAAAATGGTGAGCCATTAAAAAGAAATGGGCGACACGTGATACATTTAATGTGGTTTGACGTTGATCGAATCGATATTCCTTTAGGTATTTTATTATTAAACGTAAAGAAAAGCTGTTATGTCAAATTCGTTCGGTTCTTTTGCTGTTTCTTAAGTGTACTATTTTTTGTTGTTGACCCAAAAAGGTTTTCAAATGAATAAATCTTTCACAATCCGAAAGTAAAAACACTTCCTTTCCTACATCAATTACGCGAAATGAAAGGAAAATGAGTACTAGTGTTTCCTTCTGAATTGCGTGGTTATAATGACAAAACAACCTAAAAACATCCGCCGCGTTATCACCGGATATAACAGGACGAAATGTGGATATGGATGCACGAAAGGTTTCGGAGATAAGAAGCGCCCGTTCAAAATACTTATCTCGCTATTATTCGTATGTAATATACCACTCCCTGCCGTTGCCTGGAACATTTCTGTAACGTTTCTGTTTGAAGGTATACCCGCATAAAAAACTGACTTTTTGTTTTCAGGTCTCTTGGATGCGCAAACGGGATTTACATATTCTTACATCAAGCATACATACGTATACAGGGGATGCAAGATTTAGCGTCAGGCATCCCGAACACAGCGACGACTGGGATCTACGTATAGAATATGTACAGAAACGAGATGCAGGCGTCTACGAATGTCAAGTAAATACGGAACCTAAAATTAATATGGCTGTCATGCTCAACGTTGAGGGTATGTATATTTTAATGCGTTTTTTACACCTTCGCTTGCACTTTCCTTGCCTGCTGTAAAGTATATTAAAGCATAAGTTTTTCTTAGTAATTCTAGTTATTCCACTCACCACTAATACGCTTTTTTCTAAACAAAACTAGACCAATTTCTCAAAATATCATTTTCAATCCGCCATTTTGAAAGAAAAAAACGATATTTCGCAATCATATCGCTTAAGGACGGAAAGTGTGTCAACGCATAAGGCGTAGTAGTGTTATTGCCACATTAATTTATGCGCAATAGTGTGCTCATCCATAATGGCTTTAGACGTAGCAATAGGGACGAGCATAAACATATTAGTGTTTTTGTACTATTCCTTTGTTCCAGACGCGACTTCCTTTGCAGCCTCGCACCCCGAGCCCAACCCGGAAGGTACCTTCATCCCTTTCACGCATCTTTCTCGTTTGATTTATTATGTTTTCACTTTACATTATTCTCGCAAGTTCATTATTCTAGTGTAGACTTGCATGTGATTTATTAGAAGGTAAAATTAGTAAAGCTACCACTAAGTGAACACTCTCACTATTCAGTGCTTTTATATTCTTATTTATTGCATGACTGGGATATTTTCCGTATTTGCGAATATTGAATGGCACACTGCAATTTTACTTCCCCTATATCATTTGAATTTGCATTTTTATTACACGTTGAATCGTAAAGTATCGATTCCGCTACGTGAAATTTGATTATGAAAATTTTGTTTTGTGATTTCACGGGAAGTTTTCAAAAGTCGTATCTTCTTTCTTTCATAACCGCATGGACGCATCAATCAATTAAAAAGGATGCAAATTTTTAACGGACAACTGAATCATAAACGTACCGCTTGCATATTTTAATTAACTTTACGGAGTTCTAACCACGCAAAGCGAGGATCGGATTGAAAGCCGTTCATGAATAAAAATGTTTGCAATGTTTTTTTCATGACTAGGGTATCTGCTAACGTTACTTGAAAACACAATTCTTGTAATAATTTTATCCACTAAAAAATTATTTAGACATGTAGGTACATAATTTCAATTTAAAATCGTCAAATTGTGTAAAAATAAGTAATTCTAAACCAATGAACTGTATAGTAATAAAGGATAGATGTTTAATTCAGATGTAGTTTTGGGCACTACGCTTTTGTGTACAGCGAAAGGCAGATGCTACGAACCGAATATACTAAGGCTAACACTAAACACTAAAAACCTGTCCAAACGAATTCGAAAATTTCTTTGAAAATTTCTTATAGGTGGTTATTATATTATTGTGGTTCGGTGGTGGTTTAACCCACTTTCTAATTTCCGCTGGAAAGAATACAGATATTTGCCATAACGGCCGAATACACTCACCTTATAAGACTTCTTAAGGAAACGGATTACCTCGTACAAATAGGAAAACTTGTTTCTACTGCATTTCAATCCCGCACATGCTACTTGATATCTACCAAATCTTAAACGAGAAAATCCATATCTCAATAAGCGGCGACGAATTATCTCAATCATATCCTAGATTCCCATTTTCCCATTCAACAACCCATTATGTCAATTTCATTTGCTTTCATCCGAACCGTTACTCATGCGCATGACACCATAAACCCCACACAAAAAACAAGGTATGAAGGATCGCGTACGATTTTCAGGTGGGTAATAATACGACCTTATTTGTAAATGTAAAATTCTTAATCAATGAAACACAATAACCAAAGCCCCTTGTTTGGATTCTAATTTTGTGCATAAATACAATACAAAGTCTGTTTCGTGCTATTAATTTTCACAGGTCGATTCCTTTAGGCATATCAAATTTACACTGGACAAAATTCCTTAAGGAAATTCCTAAAACTAACCGACCACTACTTTATATTGCTGTGTACAGAGGAGAGATTCTACTCTGCTCTCAGTTAATCTGTTAACTTCTAACAGATAGTGGGTCAGACCAAATACCTTAAACTCCAAACTGATCTGCAAAATTTTGAATAATTAAAATGGACCTTGGACAAGCCTCCAATAAAAACACAGATAAATTAGAAATGAAGTCGTTAGAATGAAACACACGGAAAAATAATGTGAGAATTAAAAACGTGCGATTTAATCGTAACCCACAAGGAAAATGGTACACACACAAACAAATATTACAAAAAAAAAACTAAAATTAAGACTTAATTACTTACATTACATATCCGGGAATTGTAATCCAAATAAAAAGGTATCCGTGCACAAAGACAATTTTCAATTATAAACACAAATTACTACACTTTACACTGACGACCGGGTAATCTCAGCATCTTCACTTCGGGTAGACATGGACGTTCCAATAAAAAACTGCCGGACGAAATAAACACAGCAATATAAATAAAAAAATTAAAATGACTTACGGATATTTACTTGGGTAACATTCTCTTCTTGTAAAATGTCGCTTCTGTTAGAAATACGGAAATAAATGACTTCCATGGTACAGTTGACTCTGTGAACCGCGCCGGTAACGTTATCTTCTAGATGAGCAAGCTATGGGGGAACAATGAGAGAAGACAAAGCCCTAAAAATTACGGGTTAAGGATAATTCTGAGTTATGTTTACACATACCACACACTAACTACTTGCAAGTATAAATCCGCTAAGTTTATTCAATGGAGCAGCCACAACACATAAGAAGTAGAGAGAAACGCTCCAAAGAAATATGATGATATCCACTACCTTTTCAGGTAGCTATAACTAAGACAATAATGGTAACAGTAATGGCGTATCATGAAAAATTTACCCACTGTGAATACAGAGGCTTCATAAACGGAACGAGTACAGGTGGTACGCAAGACGAAATTAAAGATAGATAAAGATAGAGTTATGTGCAGCAAGAGACACACGGATGGCCTCTAGCGGCAAAACAAAGAGCTATTGTGATAACAAACCTACCAGAGAACTAACCTACATCTAAACTAAAATTACAAAGGAAATGCATAGATGGTGTAAGAATATCACTAGAGTATAAATCGAATATTCGAATACTACATAAATGGAATATAAATTTGCAATTCTAAAGTGTTAAGAGGAAAAAAATCGCTAATTAAAAGACATCCATAACAAGATCGACATTGGCGTAGTTGTCGCACTATACAGACTTTTAGCCTATCCATTAAAATGCAGCACAGGCGAGGTATTCACACGACATTAATCTTATACCAAAATCTTGCATTATCTTGCAATATTTTCCGCTCCCAAATCTTAATTTGATGAGGCTGCAGCTGCAGCTGTTTAGTCCTCTCTATAAAATAAAGGCAATAAAATAAAAATAAAATAATATAAGACGCAATGCGCTCTACAGTAGAGAAATCTGGTACTCGTTTCAGTTTGTTGAAGTGGGCTATTGCATGGAATGACTAACCTTCGTTGGAAACGACAGAATAATTACCTAATAATAATATTTCATATTACATGTTTTCTACCGAATGCAGGGACTTTCTTTCCTTTTACTACCTATGTCTTGTTATAAATTAAAGTTCCTATAATCTGCACAGTAATTCCCCGAGTTGAGGCTATCTATTCAAATGAAGATCTAGCAGATATTTACTACTGTTGAGTATTAAAACCGCAACTAAAAAAATAAGCTGCTCTCATACACATTTTTTTTTACTAATGTCCATGTGAGTAATTAAATTAACATACCAGATTCAGTAAAACGTACAGAACCGTAAAACATCCGGATAACACTACATTGAATGCATTTGATAAACAGTTGCGCTTGTAACTGAAAGCTTTACATGTTGTTAGTGTTTATAATCCGCTTGCCAACTATTTCGCGGATTGTGATGTGTATATTTTATGGTAACGTATTTCATTTCCATTTTTGCATTATTCTAGATGCCCAGGCAACGATATCGGGGCCCTCGGAAGTATTTGTGAAGAAAGGCAGTACAATATCACTTACATGTAGCGTAAACGTTCATTCCACACCACCATCCTCCGTTTTATGGTATCACGGTCCAGCGGTGGTCGACTTCGACTCTCCACGCGGTGGAATTAGTTTAGAAACGGAAAAAACAGAAGCGGGAACGACAAGTAAATTGCTGATCACTAAAGCATTACTGTCTGATTCTGGAAACTATACGTGCGTACCGTCCAACGCAAGTCCTGCGTCAAGCATCGTGCACGTTCTTAATGGTGAGTTAATCATTTTTAGTGTTAATATACCCTTGCTGTTAGCATTGTTGAAATAATCTACCCAATATTGGGTTCAACACATTTACAAAACGGAAGCTTAATTTATTTGTAAGTCGTTTAAATGCAGATTTATTAACATAACAATGTGTAGCAGTCGTGCTCTAATAACTTATTTCTTAATTTGATTTATGTACTCGCAAAGAACTTAATCCTATAAATTCTTATTTCGGAACTCCCTCGCGTGCAAATGGCGTTATATTAGCATTCGATAACTTTCAAGCTTGTTCCAAGAATTAGCATCGACGGCCATAGAAAATTTGGAAACGGTCCAGTAAGGCCAAACACTTGTAAGAAGTTCTTCAATAAGGGCGGTATGTTTTTAAAATTAATACAAAGGCAATTTCTTTGTTTATTTAAAAATACAACATATGACCATAATGTTATCGATCACATATTGTTCAAATGTACACTTCTGCTAGGTTTGCAGCATCGAATTCGACGCACCCAATTCTCCGTAACTTTTTGCAAAAATTTAGGTGTCAAAGCACCTATAGTTCGATGTTTTTTTAAATTTTTTTGGAGATTTTGAGTGCGGCTAACAGGTACTTGACTTGAATTTAAGAGAAAATGTGGGAAAACTGAAGAACTTGAGGACAAATAAAAATCAGATATTGACAAAATTGGCAGAGTCTACAAGAAGGATTTGAGATAAACTTGAGGGGAATATGAGGTGCACGGGAAGAAGATCAAGTGGAGTAAGGTGTGAGTATATTTCAGTGAAACTTAAGAGACATTAATATAAATTGGGCATGGATTCAGAGAAACATGTAGGAAATTTGAGGGGTAGTTGAGGGGAAATTGAGATGATTTTTTTATAATGACTTAAATATTTTCTTAATGAAGACTTATCTGAAATGAATAACATTAAGATGGGGTCTATTCACCCTCAAGTCAAATTGAGAAAATTGTTGGTTGGACCTGAACATTCTGTCGTCATCAAATAGCAAACTAACACAGAATGGACGAAAAAGAAAGCTTGAGGTGTCAAAAAGGAATATATATAGCTGCTATTACCCCCACAATGTGTGGCTGTAGTAGAACTGATATTTTCCGTGATATTGTGCGCTTGCAGTTGGTTGACGGTCTCCCGGGAAATAATATCCATCGTACAAGCTTTCGTCCACAGGAAATGATTTCTGCATGTGGAGATATACTGAAGATGTCAAAGCTTCCCTTTGGAAAGTAGTTTAATGGTTGCTAACCTATTTTTAGATTATCTTCTTTTCAATGCGATGTAGCTTCATGGTTTTACAATTAACGCCGAGTGCTTAAAACTCAAGTAGGTTTTTGCTCATTCGAATCGGAATACCTTCCTTTTCGCTAAGACTTTAAGTAAAATTACCGCTTTACCTTTAACCAATTAAATTCAACTGTGCGCATAAAAGTTCTTTAAACAAAAGATACAAATATCGCGTAACGTCACTTGTATAAAGACAAAGTTTTTTTTAAATAAAATTTAGGCTAGCCCTGACACATTTCAAAGGTGATCACTTACATAGAATTTCTTGTTAGTCTCTACATGTATAAATAAGGCATGCTGAAACTTATACTAAATAATTACATAATGTAATCTTGGTTTTTCCAGGAGAGCACCCAGCCGCAATGCAAACGAGCACAGCTAGTCCAAAACGCCAAGTTCTAGTAATGGTAATCGTATCAGTACTGGTCTTAACTGAAATTAGATGATCTCATCTTTCCTAATGAAGTTCGTTTATTACTATACGACTTTAACGAAATAGTGCTAATAAACTCAAGTGGTGTAAATACTAGAATAAGGTGTGACAATGAAGTGATTTGTGTTTCTCGAAAACTGAAACGTATTTTTAATTCAGATGTGGTGCTATGTTCTATACTCACACCCCATTGAAAACGATATCACCAATGGTTGTGAAAGTGCTTAAAGCAAATTTTTCGGTGGTAAAACGTAAACTTTTGAATACGTCCATGTCGTGTACATACAAACGATGTCGATATAAATCAAACGGACTTAAAAAATCATAGATTATAATAGAACTGTTCACTGTAATAACTATTATTACATGTTCATATTTTATGTAGATCTCCTTCACTGTTAGATATTACAACATTATTGATTCTAGCTTATTTTGAAAATAAAGTTCAAATTATTTTAATAATTTCTGTAGATAAATAACCTTTTTGAAGACTATTAAAATTTGTTTGTACCTCAAATTGTTTTTCAAACCCACTCTAGAATCTCCTACTTTTTTTACCATCAGCTGTTCAGATAGGAAAAAAGTTTCACGTATGCGGGTAGTATACGGGAATCCATGCACCTATCATAACATCAAAATTTAAAGCGACTTATTTGGGCAACATAATTTAACTATTTCTGTACCATATTATTACCTCATGTCTAGCACAACGTAAAAGCCTCATCGACCTTTGAGAGAAGTCTAATAATAACGATGATAAGGTAAGTCAACAAAATTTGTTCTGGAGCGCCGTTGTTTTACTGAGAGCTAATAATATTCATTTTTGGAGTTTATATGTTTATTTACAGGTAATGGTATTATCATATATAATACCATAAGTAGTCGAAGTATTGTCGAATATTTTTGAGGTGCTGTCACGAATGCTAGTTACGCTGATAAAAAGCGTAACTAGCATGAGTGGAGCAGCAGCTCAAAAATAATCTACGAATACTTCGACTACGAATGGTATTCGGAGGACTATTCAATGAATCAAAAGAAAAATTAACCATAATTACCCACGCGAATGTATTTCCATGACAACAATAAACGTCAAAATAAATTACGGAAGTTGCTTTTCATTTTGCTATTGATTCTATTCGAACTTTTGTGCTCCAAGCTAACTCGTTATGAGTGATTAAATTAAAAGATGTGGTGATAAGTCGGTTGTCGAAATTGATTAACAAACTAAGAAGAATGTTCCGGTTAATACAACAAAATTTCGCGACATTTCACTGGTGAAAGCTTGACAAATGTCCTTGAATAATCGCATTGAATTGTCAATTATAATATCACAAGAGCATACAAAATAATCGATTATACTACCGAATAACGAGACGAATGATCCGAAACACCACGAGACCGAAGGTCGAGTGGTGTTTCAACGGATTATTCGTCGAGTTACGAGGTAGTATAAAAATTATTTTGTAATGCTCGAGTGGTATTCGACACGATTATATAATGAATAGAATTTTATTTTGACAGTTATTGTTATTGTCATCAAATATAGTGTATACTAGATTTATGACTTTAAATGACATAGCGAAAACACCAAATCGATTATATCACGTCGTCAAGGGTATAATCGCTTATTAATGCATTGGTATCTAAGGAAAGTGGAAGTTTTGATTGGCTCAATGTCGTATGAATGATATAATCGCTGAAATACCACACGTGAAATTATCGCTGAAATACCACACGTGAAATTATCACTATAATTCGTTCCCATTGGCTCAACAATTTGAAATCTCGACATTTCACTGGTCGAAATGTGACAAATGTTAGATGAATTGAATAGTCAATAAATATCCTTGTGTGTTATTATTTTGTCACAGTAGATATTTGATTACAGAAACATTTCCGAACGATTAGGTATATTTCTACTTCTGTCAGGTAATGGCCAAAACAAATAAAAAAATTATTATATTTAAACATTGCAATTGTGGTAAACGCCTGGGTTTGTGGGTGACCATTACAAATATAGGGAGATCAACTAAACCAATTAAGTAAGTGTGAGCCAATCAATTAGTTGAACCTCGATTAAAATTGCCAGTATCTTGTTGTGTAGACTATTGGCCTGGTGGAAATGGATTCCTTTCGGACCAAAAAACTAAAGAATATTGAAAAATTCAATGCTTCAAGAATAGAATGTTGCATTACGTACGGTACCACAGCATTTCTTAAAAACTAGTACAATTGCGTCATGTTACCTCAATTTTCAAAATCATTCAGTAATTTGTTACTTACACAATTGCCAATTGTTGACAATTAATTAATAAGGAAATTGCACCCGGGACGCTCACTTACGGTGGAGTAGGGGTGGAAGTTGAGTAAACTACATTATAATCGTAATGAATCAAAGGAAGGGGGAATGAGCGGGAGAGACATTTCCTTCATATGTGCCAGCATTATCGATGTATTGAAGATGAAGATGCTCCCTACCCATCTACGCCAACAACAATAAGCTTTTGCATTTGGATTTTGCAGGTTACCAACTTTTTCTATGTCTGCAACAAGCCACTGAGTAGACGGTGTATTATCTTCTTCAACATAAGTCATTTTGTTTACAAGGATGGTGAATTATATTGCATGTATAATAAATAGGTAAAATACTATAAGAAACGCGTGTGGTCTTTGTCTTTAAAGCACTTGCAAAGTTTAACTCGTTGCGCGTGCTTAAAGACTTGATTATGCCTTGTTTCTTAATATACTATTTTTTTCGAAATATTAATAAGTTAAGATAACAAGGATCAATGCGTTCGGTGGCGAGGTGAGCAAAGTTAAGTATTCCTTGTTTCACAAAATATCCATGCTGAAAGGTGATTGTACCTGGTATAATACACGAGACTGCCGATATTAAATTAACATCTCATATTTTCAGCATGTTAGTATAGTCGACATTCTCTGATATGCTTTTTTTCTATAATAATAATCTACATCGATTCATAGGTAACGAACCGTAATGCAGTAACACAATCACAAGTATAAAAATACCATCCCGCGAGATAGCAATTGCAAATTTAATTACTGAAATCGTTACTGAAATTAAACGGAGATAAAATGGCCAAAAGGGAAAAAATTCAAGTCGCTTTGGGATGTAGGGATTTTTTGAATATTCATTATAGTTATGTAATTCATTGTGCGAGGGTATTTATTCGTAGTTTTTTTTCTTTTTCATGCGCCTGATTCATTTTAGTTACAGACGAAAAGAAGCGGAATACAGCTTTGGGTTTAATAAATAAGGCATTTGGTTTCTATTCTAGATTTTCTCAAAGAAGCGCAATAGGTGGGTGTAAAGGTAAGGGGAACCCTCGTAACCTGTCCCCTTCAATTTCAAAATAAATACACCGTTTATTAAATTACGTTCTTGAATCTTGATTTTCTCTTACCTTATTGTAACGTAAATTTAATTATGTGGTTTTATTTATTTAATTAATTAACAATAAATGTGTAACAGTCTTAAAATGGATTAGTTTGTAACAGTAATTACAATTACAGTTACACTCAAGAGCACATTGATTTAGGAACTTAACTTAAATACGCCACAATTTGCTTATATAGTAAACGACAACTGATCTAGAACGTTTCGAAATGTTTTAGAATAAACACGTCATTTTTTCCAGAAGGATTGCGTCACATCCACCTTCGCTCTTTATGGCCAATGACTAATCTTTTAGGCGCCTCGATTTCTGTCGAGATTTCTGGAATATTCGCTAAATCGGCAGTGTTAAAAAAATTAACAATCTTAGTTGTGCTAAATGTGGATGCACAAAATCGGTCGATAAGGAGAGTCTGTTGCTGTTACAATATACCTACGATAAAATAAAATTAATAAAGCAACTGTTTTATAGTTACAAAGCTAACTACGAATATAATAAAAGATAGAAGCCATATTTCTGTTACGATATTGTAACAAATTTGCACTTCATTTAATAAAATCAATGTGTACAATTTTCCTATGTCAATAAATCATTTTAGATTTTAGCTTTAAAAAAGCCTTATGGAATTATTAACCCTTTCGAAAGGAAATGTATAGAACAATAGTTAAAAACAGAAGTTTTATAAATGTCGCATAAATGTAGCAAGGTGAAACAATTTGTGTTCGTATTCCGTAGGTAATCAAACGAAACTACATGAAATGCTATAGTGGGATTGCTTTCATTGGCTGTAATTGGATTTTCGATATTGCGAGAGAATACAAGCTTAAATGGCAATATGAATATTTCTTTTTTCTTTCGCCGTTTTATTTTTTGTATTTCGAAATGAATCTGATCCATACCACATCCTTAATATGAAAAGTAATTTACTAGTCAAACGCTTAAGCTAACTGTAACAAGTTACATATGTTATACTTATCTAATAATATATGCAATCATTTAAAAGTTGTCAACTTTGAAAGTAATATCTTTCACTACAAAAATGTGTTAGTAGTCACTCAAAATAGGAGTTCAATAATTTTCCAGAGTTTTAAACGGTTGTTGTATTCTTGCCAGGTTTCGTTTTGTGTGATAGATTATGAGATGCAACACATCAGTATGATGTTTGTCAACTATCGTATCGGGGTACTAGAAGATCTAAACAGATCCTGGTGCATAACAATTAAATCTGTTAGGTCTGTTGTAGTATCCTTAAGATATTGTTTATAACGTATCGCTGCAGTTATGAGCAGAAAGTTCCGGAATTTGTGCATTGAGGCATAATATGACTGTTTCGGAAGTTATGAATAGTTGCACAGGCCACCAACAAATAAATATCAAGTTAATGATTGCTTGTAAACTGGACCGATGAACTGATTTTACCTTTACAAAAGCATTAAACCAACTCTTGCTGTAGTGAAATTTACGAATAGCGAAGTTCCACTACGACAAAAACACAACAAATCATAACTAATATAAGCTGGTATGATGGTAATAAAGTAAAAGTACTTTTTTGAGTACCTTGAAAGTATATAACATTCAATTTTGTTAACATAAAAAAAAGTTTTAATACACAGTTCTCTGGACAAGTAATTGCAGTTTTATTTGATGTAAAGCTAATCATCATCAATGGAACTACTATCGTTTTAAAAATGGATTCGTTTTCGGGCAACGTGAGGTAACTCCATCAGACCTTAGACCCTGCACGTACGATTCATTTGCATCTCCATCAGAAGAATTAAAGGCATCAGGTAGCATCTTCGACACTTGAACCAGCGTGGGAGGATCAAATCACCTTTCTTCCTTTACTTTACCAATTTCACCAAAACAACACACTTGAATGAGCTCTCGGTCTTTGAGATCCGTGATTCCATTTACATATGCATCATTTTTTTGCTTTCCGATCCTCCATATTAATAATCTATACGTTCAGCATTAAGAGAGCAGTTAAAACAATCTGATTCAGATCTGTTACCTACGCACCACT